GTGTAGAGGAGCTTGCTGTGTACGAGTGCGGTGACGAGTTGCTTCGCCTGCTCTTCTCTGAGACCGTGTTTTTTGTTAATGATGCGTCTGATTAGGTGCGTCAGATTTCGGCAGTCTTTTTGAAACTGTAAAGTGTTTGGGTTAGCATTGTTGTTGTGGTGTATGGTGAATCCAAGTATTCTGCAGGATGTCACCTTCGGTATGACCTTGCCTGATATGCTAATTTGCACTAGTTCATTGGCGTTCTTTTGGTACTGTGTTCGATTCATGAGGAGTAATTCCGATTTTTCGGCCGAGAGTTGTAGCCCAGCTTCATTTAGGTATGTTACTATGGTATTTACGCCTTGTTGAAGGCTAGTTTCGACTTCTCCTGGAGATCCGGTTTCGCACCAAAGGGTAATATCGTCGGCGTATAATGTGTGGTGAAGGTTTTGGATTGTGGACAGCTGCCTGGATAGTGTGGTCATGCAGAGATTAAAGAGAGTGGGGGATAGAATTGATCCCTGGGGTGTGCCTCGGTTTATGTCAACGGGCGAGGAGAGTGCACCTGCGGCTCTAAAGTGCGCTATCCGGCCTTAGAGGAAACTGCGTATGTAGTTGTACATGTTGGTGCCACTGCCGGTGTCGAGAACTGATTCGAGTATGTGATCATGGGTAATGTTATCAAAAGCTTTTTTCACGTCAAGTGCGAGGAGTGCTTGTGTCTGTGCTGTCTTGGGTATTAGAAGTGTATTTTGTAGTATTAGAAAGAGGTCCTGCGTGGATATGTACTTACGATACCCTATGAGCTGATGCGGGAAGTGTTTAGTGTCCTCCAGGTGTTCTTCTAATCTGTTTAGTACAAGCCGTTCCACAGTTTTTCCCACGCAAGATGTTAAGGATATTGGTCTGAGATTGCTGAGTGTGGCTGTTTTTCCCGGTTTCGGAATCATGGTAATGTGCGATGTTTTCCATACGTCCGGAAGTGTGCCTGCGTTCCAATGTTGGTTGATATGGTCTAGAAGTGTCTCCTTGTCTCTGTCAGGAAGGTTGCGCAGCAGGGTGTAGGTGATGCCGTCGGGGCCCGGCGTGGTCTTGCGATTGTTTTGGGTTAGTGCACCGTTGAGCTCGGCCAGGGTGAAATCCTTGTCGATGTATTCGTTGGCGGGGCCCGTGTAGTTTTTGTAAAATGACTGGTGTGTTGTTGGAATGTAGAGATTTTGTAGTTCCTTGAAGGTTTTGTTGATGCCTTTTGTGCTCACGTGTTTCTCTATGGTGGGGATAACGTCTTTCTTCGTGCCGAGCAGGGCGCGCAGAAGGTGCCAGGTTTGTTTGCTGTGTAGAGTATTTTGAATTCTGTCACAAGTGTCGTTCCACTCTGTCATTTCTAGCATCTGGGCGTGAATAATCGCCTCTATGCTTATGTTTTCTATTTTTTTGCGGAGGTGATCATTGTGTGGCTGCTTAGCTAAGATTCTAAGAAGCCTTTTTCGTTTTTTCCAAAGACGTAGGAGATGTGGGTCTGGCTTGTCTGCAGGCGCCGAAGTTGTTTGCGGGCTGGTGGCTTGTTCTTTAGTGTCCATTAGGCTTTTGGTCCACATGTTTAAGGTGTCGTGTTCGCTGTCTGTTGTGCTCTGCCTCAGCTTGCGAAATTTGTTCCAGTCTGTGAAGGCGACCTTTGTGCGGCGCTTTCTTAGCGTGATTTGGATCGTGATGTGTAGTATGTCGTGATCACTAGTCAGGTTCTCGTGACTGTTCTCCCACGTAGTGGCGTATCGCCCTTTGTGCAGTGCGAGGTCCGGTGTTGTGGAAACCTGTGCGCGTGTCCCCGTGCGGGTCGTTACCCCCGGCGTGTTGAGGACAGTGTACTGAAAGCCATGTATGTTTTCTTCTAGTAGCCTGCCCGTTTTGGTGTTTGCCTTGTATCCACATGACGTGTTGGGTGCATTAAAGTCTCCCATGATATAAATGTCGTGTGTCCCTTCATCGTCTTTGGCGTGCTTAAAGATAAGTTTCAGGTCATGCTTAGATTTGGGTGGATTGTAGACGTTGTAAAGCTTTATGGGGCGTTGTGAGTTGTCTGGGTATATTGTCGTTATTAAGGTGAATTTTTTTATGTTGTCCGGTGCTGTTTCTGTGTAGTGTTTAATGCCACGTTTCACGTAAGTTGATAATAATGGTTGGTCATGCTCGTTGTGTGCTGAGTGTGTTGCTTTGTATTTGGGGAGGTTGTGCGCTTTGTAAGTTTCCTGTAAAAGTATGACGTGGGGAGGAGTTTCTGATTTGAGGAGGTATTGCGTGATTAATGCTTTTTTGTGGGTGATTCCGCGGCAATTCCACTGCCAAACATGAAGGTTCTCAGAACTTATTTGAGGCATGAACTATCTACTCTTGCGTTTTTTGAGTGGGTGCTCGCGGTGTCCTCTTGGTCTTGGGGAATATGTCTCTTTTGTGATTGGAGCGTGTAGTCCATGGTGTCGGCGCTCCAATCTTCGTCGGGGAGAAGTCGTTTGAGCATGCGGTCTACGCGTTGCTCTAGCAGGGTTAGTCGCAGTTCGTGGCGTTCATAGGTCGATGCGAGTTTATCGACACTGTTGGTTAGGCGGTCTAGCTTCTGTTCCAGTTTGTCAAAACATGCTACGATAGCATCTGGTTTGTCCACACGGGATACTATCCTGTGTGTTGACCAGGGGGGATTGGCTTGTTTTGTGTGCTGTTGGTATGGAAGTGCTGCGTAAATGGGAGGAGGATGTGCGGGTGAGGCGTTGAAGTTGGGGGTTTCGGGTTGTTGGAGTGGAGCTGGAGTGCTTGGCTCACCTGTCTTTCCGGGCGGAGCGGTTTTCCCAGCGCCCAGGCAGGATAATTGGTTCTTGCTGGGGGTCGTGCATTGGTTTCGGTTTGTCGCATCTGCCGATGCGGCCGGTGGTGGCGGAGGTGCGTTGTTCATGGTGGCGGAAGTGATGTGCTTGTCCTGTCGTGGTAGCTGCCCTTGCCACGGCTGCGATGGCTGACCTCGTGGTGCCAGTGCGGGGAATGCGTGCTCATAATTGGGGCCCTGATGTGGCGGCGATGCTTGGTTGTGTGCTCCCCATGCTCGTGCAGGCTGTTGATGTTGCGGGATCATGGTGTTGTTGCGCAGCCTGATACGTTGAAGATAGGATTCTTTGGTCCGTCTCTGATCCTTTTGCTTCTTGATTTGGCAATCGGGGTCGTTGGTCCTATGCTCCCCTCCGCAGTGGATGCAGAGAAGGAAGCATTGGTGTTCTTCTCCTTGTTGCTTAAGTTGTTTTGTGCAATCAGCACATCTGATTGTGGTTGATCTGGTGGGGCAGTTGTCTGCGCGATGATCATACATCAAGCATAGGGAGCAGAACTGTGCCTTCGGATGATGGGGCCAGCACCGGAATATAGCTCGGTGATAAAGAACTTTCCAGGGTACGGTGCTTCCTTCAAAGGTGATAATGGCTGTTTCTGTCTTGCCCATAATGCGGGCGGCAAGTATGGTGGGTCCGAAAGTGGCCAAGTGCTGCATGAGGTGTTCAGAGGTTGTACCGGGATCCACTCCGTGAATGACACCTTTGCAGGAGTTGGCCGGTGCGGTGATATACGCCTGGACTTTGTATACGGTTTGTCCAAGTGGGAGTTGAGACAGGGTCGCAATTTTCTCCGCCGCCATCGGGCTTGGGGTCTTGATCACTATTATATTGTTTTGTTGCTTGATGTGCACCGAGAGATCCTGGGCTTCGTGTGGGGTGAGGAGGGCGTTTTGCCTTACGGCGATTGCAATGTGATGTTGTTTGTATTGAAGAAGGTTCATGGCACTTTGTGGTCGGATTATGACTGTTTTAAGCTCCGTTGAGCGTAGGGGGGTAGTACGGGCCTTCTTCCCGTAGTGGACAAGTGTGTAGTTGTCTTCTTCGGTAGCTGTCTCGTAACGGTGGATGTCTGGCGCCATAATGGTTTGCGCAGGTGAGGAGAAGGTGGGTGGCTTGCCGGTTATTAGTGAGGGATGCGTCTCCGACAGTGTGTGGCCGCCGTCGACAGGAGCGGTGAGACCTTCCATATTCGGGTCTAAGTTTTCTTGCGAGGCTTAGCTACCGCCATGGCGTGATCATTCGAAAGGTGGGAATAAAATACAGATAATGAACCCACAAAAAATCAGGTATCCATCGATGCCGTGAGTGAACCTCTCTCCGATTATGAAGTCGTTATTCCCCTGTTGGATGGAAAAACTGTGCAAATCGGGTGATTTGTCGGAGCTCACTGTGGAAAGATTTGGATAGGTCGACTTCGTCTTCCTCCCACCATCGTTGACCATGCGCCAACTAGCTCAACTCAAACCGATGATTCACTCTTAGCTTGGGTGAAAATGTGAATTTGTGCGTACTGCCGCCCCGTCATGCTTGTCGTCCTCGACGTTGTCCAGTAGAACGACATCAAGGACGACGTCGTGGAGAACGTGTAGGGCGATCTCAAGGGTGACCTCCAAGACGACCTGAAGCACGCCGTCTAGGACGACATCAAGGAAGACGTCTAGCGCGACGTCAAGGACGATGTCTAGTATGACCTCTAGGACAACCTCTCGGGCGATGTCAAGGACGACGACTGGAACAACCTCTAGGATGACCTCTGGGCCGATCTCAAGGACAACCTCGAGGACGACCTCTAGGACGACCTCTAGGAAGACCTATAGGATGACGCGCAGCGCCTGCGAATATGGATGTGCTGCCTATGCGGAGGAACCGCGCCGCCACGAGGCGCCTCCGCATTTGGGAGGCGAATACGCGCGCCGCTCATAGGCACGGCGCTTTCAAGATCAAAGAGCGTATCGCGAAAACCGGGTGAAGTAGCTAAAGAATGCTATCGCATTAAAAAGGGTACATGACATGACAATTATAACCACGTTTTGTAAGGAATTGTAAGAACGTCTTTATTGACTACAGTTCGTTTTTTTTAATCATATTACTAAAACCTCAATTTTTCTTTGAAGTCTTCAGCACCGGCCAGGATACTTGACCGTTTCATGACGCGTAGGTGCATACTCCTCGGACGCATATCTGGAAAAAAAAAAGAAGAAAATTGCATCGATTTAACTTGCAAAACCTAATTATTGACATCTATATTCACAAAGACAGGCTTTAATTCTAAGAAGGGTAGTGAAAGGTAATGGTTAGCTTCTTACTTTTTATTTTTGCGTGTGTAAAAATTATATCCTCTCATGGGGGGTTCGATCTTTGTATTTCATGTTTAATTTTTGCTGAATTATTCGATGCAGAACAAGCACACCTTTAATATAATATTGATGTTTTTTGGCATACTAAGACACCGCGGGCATCGTTGGCTTTACGCCGATTGCGTGGTCCAAATCCTTTTCCTGCCAAAATATTAATAATAAGTTAAATTTACTCCTACTATTAACATCGCCCAAGTCTTCTTCTCAGTCTAACCTACCGTCGTTCTTCCGGAAAATCCTACTTCCTTTTTGGCAATTATTGTGTTATGGCTTGGAACCGTTCTCAGCATACATTGTTTAGAAAAGAAGCTCTAATCTACTAATTCGAGCAGTCGCCCATAGGTAAATTGCTTACCCATGACGCGAATGCACCTTTTTAATGCTAAATTTATTTCAATGCGGGCGAAGTTAAGATTTGTGTGACGTCACCGAATCCGTACCATAGGCCGTCGACTCCTAATTTTTGCGGGCTAGCAAATCGTCAATTTAGGGTTGGACAGTTTCCTGATACATATCTATTTGGAGAGTATTTTTCCACTACGTTTTATATTTGTATTTCTGCATCGCGGTACAATGTGTCCACCTCTATTTTGTATGTCTCCATTAAAATACATATTCGGATGTTTTCCTGGTATCACGATACTATGAAGTTCTGTCCGCACTCTAAAAAAAGTTTGTGCGTCTACTTTCACGCACAACACCCTGAGAGCCAATCAGCGCAACTTACGGAGGGAGCTGAGCGAATGACGACGCCGAAACATATGTTTAGACCAAACAACGCAGTCTGAGTAGTGACATTAAGCAATGCAGGAGGGACGTTTTGCATTGCTTAATGTCACAGCTTAGACTGCGTTGTTTGGTCTAAAAATATGTTTCGGCATCGTCATTCGCTGAGCTCCCTCCGTAAGTTGCGCTGATTGGCACTCCGAGTGTTGTACGGGAAAGCAAACGCACCGGTTTTTTTTTTAGAGTGCGTTGCCCTATAAACAGATGCTCAAGCAAAGCCTAGGGTCTCAAACTAGACCTCCATGCAGACTGCCTTACGCACGTTCACCACTCGTTTCGTTTCGGTCCACTCCGCAAAAAAGAAAAAAAAGAGAAATAAAAATGAGGGATTTCAAGGCTCTGTTATTCTCCGACGTTGAGCGCAGCGAACGCAGCGTAGCGCAGAACGAAGATCTTTGATTGGACGGCGAGCTGGAACTCGATATCTGTGACCAATCAGTAGCTGTGTGCTCTACGGTACGCAGTGTTTGCTACGCTCGACGTCGGAGTATAACAGAGCCTTTAGGAGACCGTATTCTAGATCTCCGATTTGCTAAATGAAGCTCGTGCCGTCACTTCATCGCACGGATTAAGCGCGAAACACATGTACGACGAAACCGTCCGATCCGACGTCCGACCGCGCAATACGACGGTCGGAGGCGAGGGTTTTCAACGCTCTCCGATGCTACGAAAACCCTCGCCTTCCAAGGTCATTCCGGCAGTCCGCACGTCGGATCGGAAGGTTTTCGTCGTACGTGTGTTTCGCGCTTTAAGCCCAAGCACGCTGGACGCGCTTTCCGCGGTGTACGTTCTTCTTAGAGAGTTTTAGCAGATCGTGCGCAGTCGAGAGCGGGTCCAGCAGAGCTCTAGCGCTCGATCAACTATAATTTGTTCACCCTTAAAGGAGCGATGCAACAATTTTTGTACTTTGCGAAAATGCAGCTTAAAACGGATCCCTAACGTTGATGACTTATCAAACACGCCTTCGTTCTTCACCCCACGCAATAGAAGTCCCAGAAAAAAATTTAAGAAAAACGAGCAGCCTTCACCCCCTCAACTCGCAGGCAGAACAAGCGGCCACGTGATCTGGAGCCCATTATATGCCGCCAGTGTTGATCATAGCCACGCGCTGGGGTTGGCAAACCGCAGGACACGCGCTGAGTTCCAGACATTGTTATGGCTCGGCTATTGTCGTCGTTGCAGCGATTGGACGCGGGCGACTACCCGAATGCTTCTCGAGCTAGTAATTATCACGAGCCCAAATCGAGTGTCCACGCAGGGCTCGGGTCCAATCTATGAACCGCATTCAAATATCGTCACTTGGGTGTTCTGCGATCCCAATGTTACGTCATCAAATCAACATTCCAACTGAATATTGTTGCACAGCTCCTTTAAAGGAGCTGTGCAACGATATTCAGTTGGAATGTTTTTCACTATACACGAGCTTACTGGCGCTAGTGGGACTCAAGGATACTCGCACGCAACACCACTGGCCAAGAAAATCCTTTGTTGAGGTGTAATTTCAAGGACAAAGGCGATCATTTTCATTCAATCTCTCCTTTGAAAAATTTGATGACGTAACGTGGGAAACGCAGTACACCCATATGACGATATTTGATTGCGTTTCGTAGATTGGACCCCAGCATTGCGTGGGCACTCGATTTCGGCTCGTGATAATTACTAGCTCGAGAAGCATTCGGGTAGTGGCCCGTGTCCAATCGCTGGAACGACGACAATAGCCGAGCCATAACAATGTCTGGAACTCAGCGCGCGTCCTGTGCTTTGCCAACCCCAGCGCGTGACTGTGATCAACATTGGCGGCATATAATCGGCTTTAGATCACATGGCCGCTTGTTGTTCTGCGAGTTGAGGGGGTGAACGCTGCTTGTTTTTCTTCATATTTTTCTCGGACTTCTATAGCGTGGGGTGAAAAACGAACGCGTGTTTCGTAGGTCATTAACGCCAGGGATCCGTTCTAAGCGGTATTTGCGCAAACTACAAAAATTGTTGCATTGCCCCTTTAAGCTGAGACAAAAGCTCCGCCTTCAGCATGAGCTCGCTGGCTTTCGCAGTTCTCTGGTTGCACGGGCCTGCGCGTTGAAACTTGCGTTAGCAAGGTCATAAAGCTCACGCTGAAGTCGGACCTTTTAGTGTCAACTTAAGGGTGAACGGAATACAAACGTCCGTAAAATAGAGGTTTAGTAGATCGAACGCTGTTGAAAGCGGGTATGCTTCGAAGTAAAGGCGTAAGCTCCCGCTATAAGAGTGTACTACCTCCATACTCCGTACACCCTTAAGCTGAGACGGCAGGCAATGGCACCACAACAACGAGAGCTCAAGGTCGCTGTTTTGAAGCCTTCTTCCGGAGAAGGAGCGCTCGCGCTTTAAATGCATGTATCAAAGCCAGGAGCGCGGGCTATCCGTGACGTATACCTTTCGCTGCAGTCGCAGCTTAATTGCGAACGGAGTATAGAATAGAGTCTTCTAAAAAGTACCCAATCTCAGGTTCGAGCTTCTGCAAGCCTCGTCGAAACCGTCAGGGTTAATCCAGTCGACCCCTTCCCGCTCCCAGCGCCCGCCGCCGCACCGACGCGCCCCAATTCAATATAGAGGTTTTTTGCGCGACACAGGGGACAATTACAAGCGAGTAGACACGGACATTGCGCTTGTCCGTGTCTACTCGCTTGTAATTGTCCCCTGTGTCGCGCAAAAAACGTCTATACTGCATCATGAACCAACTAGGCCAACAACAAGTTTTAATTAAGTTTCAATTCAACTAGCGTTGCCAGGTTAAATTCAGCAGTCGGTATTCGGAATATGGTGTCAGCTGTGTCTGGCTTCTGACTGTACGTTAATGTGTGAATTCACTCAGCTGACACTTCGTTGCCATGGTTACGCTGACCATAGCAGACGGACTTAATGATGCGAAGGACACAGTGGGGTGGCGAGGTGAGGTGCGTGCAGGGTCTTCCGCCGAGATCTTCAAAAATAGTTAAAAAATGACTTAACGCAGATGGCTGATTTTTCTAGCCTCTAATATCTTGACCAATTTTACACACGAAAAAAAAACACGAAAACAACAACAACAACAAAAACGACGTGTCTTTATCTTGCAATTTGGAAAAAAAAAATATTTTCAACCGCTACGTGGGGCTGAATAACCGATGTGCCCACTTTTCAGTCTTTCTATCGCTTGCCTTGGCTCTACTTCTATCGTAACTTTCGACATTACTTAAAAATTTACGTATGCTATGACTCCGTGAGCTATTTTGGTAAAGGGTCGAAAGGCATGTGACGGCAAAAGGGCTCTCGGACGTTGCATTTTACGTACTTCCCTCCGGCGTTCCGATTGGCCACTGCAGTCAATCATTTGACTCTTCATCGTGTTTTGACGAAAATACCAATAGCTGAAATTTAAACTTACCAAGTACACTCGCTAACCTCAGACAGATGTGGATATGAGCAATTCATGTTTCTATAACCTCTGCGAGACGAACTGTACCTCTAAAAGCGTGGCAAACCCAGCAAGAGAGTAAATGCTCTTTTCAGCATATGCTTTAAAACGTTTACAGGAAATCTGTTTAAGGGCTTGGATCTCCGTAGAAAGCGTGAACAAAAGCTATTAAAACCACCACAAAAAATGTGGGACGAAATTCAGGAGAAAATAATTTTCTCCTGAAATTAAAATACCTATTTTTTCGTTTGAATTAAGATCTTCTGAAATGAAAACGAAGATGCAAAGAAATGTTGATAGGAAAGAAAGCAATCCCGAACATCCCCTGACGAGAATCGAACCCAAGATACGAACATTGCAAACCATATGCACTCTAGCATTGCGCCGAGGGAGAGCTCTGAAAGCGAATCCGTCACGTCGCTACAACTTTTTTTTTTTTATCAATGTCGCCGCAACAATATAGACGTGACTCATAAAAGGAGCTACGTGAAGAAAGGCTCCTCGTGGCTCACGCGCTGGGAAGAAAGAACACTGGAGCTCAGTTCCTTCTTCTTCAGCGTCTGGCTTCCCGCCCGGCGACTTTGCCACGCGCTATTTGAGCCGTTGTTTGTTATTATTGCAAAGGACAGACCGCAAAGGGCAATTTACAATAGAAATGCACTGCAGGTTCTCGTAGGGCAGCACGACAAGGGTTGGAAAAGTGTGAGTAACCGCGTGACAGTATCACATGACAGACTCGCGTGAATTGATGTCACGGAAAGGTTTCGAAAAAACCGCAGAAGTGTGGGGAAGCTAGCAAATCCAACACCTTCTGGGATACCGACTTCACCCGTAGGATCAAGGTAAATCAAGCATATACGTTTCTATTAGGTATTTAGGCGTTTGCATGCAGCGACAAATGCGCCATTGCAAGAGGGGCATGCTTCGTGAAGTACTTGACAAAAATGATGGTGCATGTCTCAGCTAAGATATGAAGACGCCGAGTTTATTTTCTTTCCAATTAAAATCAAACTTTCCGTGGCACACCATATAGACATTTACCCGAACTTCGCTTCACGGTGGCCAGATAGAACCGCAAAGTTTCAGGGCCGTGATTAAAATCTCGAATTTAATGGTAGGGCATAAAAAAATAAAGTTTGTTGTTTTAACTTACCCTGCCATCATTGCTGCATGGTTCTCGGCTTGTTAGCAGTAGTGTAGGACGTATTCCACCAAAAAGCACAGCAAGGTGGACACGGCAATTAAAGCGGCAGTGAGATAAATCAAGTGCTTCCTACAGAGAAAAATGTTCTACAGCTTACAAAGGACACAATATATTAAATCGCTCGTTTAGTGCTTATTAATTTATTGTTTTTATACTCACAATAACCCTCGTGTCATAATACTTGTTACAAGCCCCCTTCAATCTTTCAAGGAATAGTCCTTTACTCCCTACGAAATCTGGAAGGTCTTCCTCTTCCACATCACCGTTTACCGCGTCAGCTGAAACAACAATGGTAGTGCTGTCATGTGTATTTAATAAGTATTACGTCTTAAAACCGCGGTAGCCAATCAGAATCAGTGAGTGAGAACATTATCGGCTGAATCTGCATGGACATTTGACGACGGTAGCAAATATAGGGTGTTTGAAACGCCGAGACGTCTTGTGTGCCATCCACTTTTTCGTCCGTTGTCTCCGGTTTAAAAAAAAAAAAAGGGTAATATCAACCAGCTGACCTGCCCACCCACTCTATTGTCGTTCTGAAGCCGGCCGTAAAACTCGGCGACTGCGCGTAGCAATTTAGACCTTTAATCAAAAGCCTATTTCACAGGTGGATTTGACCTCGTAAAATTGCAGGGCGTATATCCCTTTCTGTAAAGGATAGAGCCAAAAAACTTGCCAGGGTCAACGGCGGACGGCGACGCAAACGACCGAGTAGAGTGGCGGGGTGCGTTTGGCGCACGAATTGGTGGATGCGTCGAAAGCAGCGTGTAAGATGCAGCCGACCAGCTAAAGAAAGCAGGCGACATGCAGACGACATACGTCGGCACCAAGTGCGCCGTCGTTATGCAACCGTGTTTTAATTTTGTTACTTCAAGTTTTCGTATCACTGCTCGCATTTATTTTGAAATCAAAGGTGCACTACAAAGAGATTATTTTCATTTCAATAGACCACGGTCTTCGCCGGCAGTCTGAATATATTTTTTTAAAGCAATCGGGAACCAGAGCCGCTTATGTAGAGCTTGGTCATTATGTGGTGAGTTTGGGGCGAAAATATAGGGCACGCCATTGGCTCAAATTGTTTAAATGACCTTGGGCGTGATGATTGTCAGCTTTTGTGACCAACCTGAAGCCACAAATATTCTTCTAGTGGAGCCAATGTGCTTAACAAATACCCTCCAGTCACAATTTCCAGCTAAGGATGTATTCAAGCATTTTAATTAGGCTCGCCAGAGTTAAATTCGCGACTCTTCGTAACTGAAAGGGCAACGCACGTGACTGTGTCTTCGCGGCGACACTAAGAACGCACTCAAATGTTTCTTTTGATTGCTGTAAGAAAAGTTTATTTACATATTTACAAATGGAGTGCGCGCAGGCCACACTGAGAGACCCTACATTATGCTTATTTAAACACGGATGTGGGGCCCACTATGACCCTGTTCTACTCACTATGCAAAACCTATATTGCCATCGTTGAAGGAATTCCTGCTCTCTAAGCGTCTACAGTTCACTCTAACAGTAGTCCACTATCTACTCGTGCAACGTGGGAAGCATTGGGAACATGGGCCTAAAACGGCGACGCTCAATCTTGGCCCTACATCTGTACTTCGACTTAGCGTACTAGTATCACAACCAGTTTCTCAAAGCGATTGGGTACCTTTGGAAACGGTGCACATCCCAAACGGTACAGACACAAGACTGAATGACGGGCCTAAAACGGCGACGCTCAATCTTGGCCCTACATCTGTACTTCGACTTAGCGTACTAGTATCACAACCAGTTTCTCAAAGCGATTGGGCCTTTGGAAACGGTGCACATCCCAAACGGTACAGACACAAGACTGAATGACGTACACGCAACTACACAACTGGTGAAACATGCTCATTCGTCTCTGGGCAACTACAGTGGGGACAGATGTCCGTCGCGGTAAAGCCCCAATGTTACAACCTGTCCCTGGTGGGCAACAATCCATACCCATAATTCATACCAGTGTCGGCAGCGTCGGCTGGTACGTCTGCGGTAGGCATGCGATCCAAAATTACGTGGGAACTTCTTGTTTGGTATCGGACAGACACGTCAGCCGCACAAAGTGTTTCTCACATTCGCGACGCGGGACTCTCCTGAACGTATAGACCTTTTCCGCTTACTTTCGCCCCCGACCGCCAAGTAGGCATATCCGGTATGGGCGACGAAAAAATATTAGAACGTTTCAACCTGCAAATAGTAAAAAAATAGAGGGGAGGCAATACGAGAATGTGTGCCTGTTACGTTTTTGTCCTAAATGCCTTCTATTGGCGTGGCGACGGCAAAACAATGTTTTCGCCCATACTGGAAGTGACGGCAATTCAAGATGGCGGCGCCCTTGCGAAAAAGGTGTATAGAGTGGGACAGTTTTCAGTCAACCGACGCGATTATCGCGACGACAGAACCAATAAAAAGAAGGAGTCTTCCCGGCAGGACACAGGTCGCCAAGCACCTGGTGGCGTGCGACGTCACAGGTGCCGTCAGTCGTACCGTCACAAGGGTAAATTTAGCGGAAATATTTTCCGCCAAAATTAGCGGAAAAATTTCCCCGCTAAATTTAGCGGCAATATTAACGTTGCGCATGACGTCACACGTAACGTCATGCGACGTCACACGTAACGTCACGTGATGTCATACATCACGCGTTTCCTATAATGATGTCACATGTGACGTCACACGTGACAGTAACGTCGTGACGTTACGCTCGTGACCCTTTCGTGAGGGTAATCCTCGTAACCCTCGTGAGGGTAACCCTCGTGAGTGTAACGCTTGTGACGCTTGTAACCCTTGTGAGGTTAAGCCTCACTGATCTCTAAGAATTGCTGGATCGCGTTCACCCGCTCCGCGAATGCGGCCAATGGCGGCCATCTTCTTGGTAGAGTTATATTACCTCTAGCCAAGGTACAGCTGCTGCAGCCACTATCATTCATCCATGGCATACAGCGTTGTGGCCAACGAGGTAGAGGGGCTTAGAGCGATAAACCGGGGTTCCGGTCTGCACTCGAAAGTGACCCCCATAAGGAGGCTGCCATTGTACGCAAATTTGACCACACGTCACATGACCAAACCAAATACGTGACGTCACAGGAAAGATGGCAGCGCCCATGCAGCGGCTGGCCCCAGCTGGGCCGGAGCTTGTCGAATGCTTCGTTGGTTGTCGTTCGTCTCGGCGAGTTGATTTCAGACGCGGAAGCCGTCATATGAGGCCGGTCGAAAGCGCGTTCAGAGTTCAGCGTGGTGTTTGACGTAGGTATAACGTGAAAATACGGAGAAACGGTGTGCATTTCGCTGGTGACCGACCGGGATATTGCCACGGAAGAGACAATCTGACCTACGTTGCTCGGACCTCGGATTGATTCGGATACCGCTAGGATAAAATTTAAGGCGACGTTTCTGTGCTCTCGTTGACCATCGGAATCTTCGAGGTTTGCAGTGAAGCGTGTGCAATATATTTGGATACACAGTTTAGCGACGGAAATTGCGTGAGTCGTGCTTGGCGGTGTGCAATCGTGGTGCAGCTTCGATCAAATGACCGAGGGCTCACTTCGGTTGTGCGGCGCACCGGAAGGCTGCCTTGAAGCTGGTAGTTCCCGTGCCGTGCTGAATGATGCTGTGCTGCTTACAAATTGTTCCGGCGTAGAAGTGCACTTTCACGGAGCACAGGTGTGCGGCGCACCGAAGAGCTGCCTTCAAGCTGGTAGTTCCTGTGCCATGCTTTAGGTGATGCTGTGCTGCTTCCGAAATTGTTCCGGCGTAGACGTGCACTTTCACGGAGCACAGGTGTTGCAGTTGGCATTGATCCCGCTGGTCTGTCGCACGTTTCGTCAACACAAATGTTTCATCCACACTCATTACGCTAATTGCAAGCTGTCCGGACATTTCACCGAGCGTGTTACGTACCCAGCTCACGCCGCTTTGTGGCAACAGTCTGCAGTGGCTCATTACCAGAAAAGTGGTCCCACATCCATTTCAGTTCAGTTCGTCCACGGCAGTCGCCAAACCCCAAAGGAGAGGATTTATTCGGACAGAATGCAACTAAAGCAATGCAGCTTCTTCAGTGGTCAGGATAGATTCTCTTCTGCTAGTTTTGTTATACTGTCACGGATCCTTGTTCCAGTCCTATCTTCTATCAATATTCGCTATTCTGGGACACTGCAGGTCATGCTCAGCTGTAATCGTATGTTCAGGTGGAGGTGCTGAGCACTTTACCCGTAGCCCTTCACTCTGTGTGAACCCGGCGGCTCTTCAGTTGAGTTACCCGATAATGGGACACGGCTGGCGGACTATTCTGCGTCTTATACCCCCGTCGAGCCGTAAGCAAAGTCCTGACCCGAGCCTGGCAGAACAACCGCAAGACGACCGAGTACCACAAGGAGTAACCTGGGAAATACACCACGAAGCACCTGAAATCCGAGCCAGTTGCTGCTACCAGGAAAAACCACCGGAATTCGGTCTCCTGTCAGAAAATCCGAAGCTGACTAAGCCAACAATGACAAACCTGTAGCAGCAAACCGTATCCCCTCCCACCATTGTTTGCATGCCCGTCGCAAATCACACTCCGACGCTTTTTCACGCAAGCTGTATGAAGACGTCAAGGACTGGATTGAACAATATGACAGTGTCGCCTGCCACATTGGGTGGACAGACAACCAGCTCCTGCAGAACCTATACTTCTCGTGGAAGCAACTGCCGGCGCTGGTCTGAGAACCATGGATCCTCCGTAACGTCACGGGAAGTTTGCAAGATCAAGCTGAAGCGCGCATCCGTCAGCCAACATCAACGAAGGAGAGCCGCATTCTTGATTCTGTGCAGGACAGTGCCCCAATGAGAGCGCCACCGCACTCGTGGAGGATGTTTTGCGCTTGGTCGAGCGCCCACGCCCACGCCGACCTTGATGCTACAGAAGACAAGAACCTAAGAATCCCATGCGCCTCACGTGAGGGACAACACCTTCGGCAGCCTTGTCCGCAACCCCCCCAACAACAGTCGAAGTGTTCATATCACTGAGGCTTCCAACATGGAATGTTCACTGCATGCCCGAGCCTGCCACTATGAACAACTTCCCGGCGTCTCGACACTCGAGTTGTCCAGCTACTACTTCGACGGCAGCCTCCCAGGCATCCACGACATCACCCACGACGTTTTTTGGGAGGAGATCAGGAAGCTACTTCCTGCCATCAGTTGCCCGGCTTTTATTTTGATTGCCGAGATTGTTTCGGAACAAGTTTGACAGGTATTTCAACCGAGACTTCTGCGAGCGAAGCGGCATCTGACAAACCAAGGGCAACTTACGCCACAATGGCACGACGACCGCCACCGGCTGCCCCTTAGTATTCAATGCCAATTCAATGAGACACTCTAACGCCGAAGCATTCCCGACATCGTGTGTAGGACTGTGCTCAACAAAGTACACTGAGGAAAACGTAGGTGATGCGAATGTGCGACCGAAAACCATTTTGCTACCACTGCATGAAGCCGACCATGTCTACCAAAGCAGCCCGTACCAATGAGTTGGTCGACGAGGGTTCGTGCCAAACGACCCTCAATTACGTCTCGAGGAGCGACCACGGGAGATTAAGGATTACCTTCGGCGACCTTTGTCCCTGATGCCGAAGGTGCTGAATCGAAGATTCTGAATCCCTCATTACCCCAAAGCTCCTCATGTCCATCACCTCAACAAGAGGTAAGCACGACAAAGCAGGTGAGCGGCGATGCAGTGACAGTGGATTTGGTGTCGGTTGTCGTCCAAGGACAATACCTAAAAATTTGCTGACACCAATTTTCTGTGTCCACTCCACGAAGCACACAATTTCCAACTTTGAGGGAGAATGCCCCTGAGTGACTTGAAGGAATAGAATGGTTGGTCGCTCTCAAAAGTGAACTGCAAGCATCACCAGACTTGGATAGCAAACAAAAATTGTTGCCAGCTTTCAAGTCAACGGTGCAGCAAAAGGCACAGCCACGTAAGCAATACATGCCCGAGCTTGCTACATTGATGCCGAAAACTACCAGGAAAATTTTTGGATTAGAAGCCAGCCCTGCAGCTTCAGTGCACATGACGTATGATTACAAGACAGCATCAGTCGGTCAAAGTTGCCACTCGACCAAACTGAATACCGACGTGCCAGGAGCGTCATCCGACAACAAGGTCCACAGGTACTACGACTGAACGCCTGACACAAGACTGTCGCAGAAAAAACTCGTTATGGAACCATTTACTAAGAATCAATAATTATGTAATCAAGTGGAAATAAACATATTTGATACACTAACCACATAAACATATTTCCGCTTGCCTTCATGCCTTGAGAGCCTACACACCAAGAATTGTGTCCATTGCACGCTCTGGACCTTACGAGGACACTCGCTTCTCTGACCCTTCAATATTAATTAAGGGGTCATACCAGACTGGCAGACTTCTTGCAAGGGGCTGCATTCGTTCAACCTTTCCTGAACATGTGGTGCATCCGAAAACCAACTCCAGTGATGTGAAAATGTTATTTATTAATTTATTCCTTCCAGGGGCCTTCGTAGGCATTGCAGAGAGGATACGTAAAACTACATACATGATAATAGCATTAAAGCACACTGCTGTAACTTGTTAATTGGAAAAACAAACACACCTCTGAGCATATAGTTTAATAGTATGTGTTGATGCATTGTTATTAAGCATGACACTTCCTATATGTATGACACAATAGACCCTTTGCAGAACCTTATCAAGCAACACAACCGTCGCCATTTTTTTCGGCGCAAAGCACACGAATGGGCCCCAGTTCACGTCGAACGCCAATGCAGCATTCGAGTCCGATAGGTGCTGAGCCGAATTCACAGGGATGGCGGACATAACATTCTTGTCGAACAAATACCCAAAGTATGAAAGCCTGGGGTAATTACAGTAGTAGCTACTGTAATTTGTTTCATCAGAATTTGGCAGATGGCAAAGGCTACGGTCTCGGTGAGTCAATACACACATTGGAGAGAGGCACATGACAGCATATCACCAGAGTGCTCGTCTGCACAGATTTGTCACACACCTACGCTCCGTCTATCTGATTGGCTCGAGGGGGCTGTGGCGGTTGGCCTTTTCCAAGTTACGGTGATGCGAAGTATAGACAGCCCACACTTTTAAAAAGAGTCTATTGAAGAGACCGAAAGGAGTGGTAGTCAACATTTTTCAACAAGACTGCTCTCCAGGCAAGGGATGAACACAAATATGAATCATCTTATCCAGGTAATTAGAACAATTAAATAATTGACCGACTAATACAATGCACTCTTGATGGAAAAGAGTATAGCTGCAATAAATCCTACAAAACAGAAAAAATGCGCACTTAATCTATGCATGCACCAAAACAGTTGTTCTTATAGCAAGTCGAATAGCTTTGAAGCAGGTGCCTGCAACGATTTATTCTTCCCCATACTCAATAAAACGCCAACCTCGTAGCTGAAAATAAGGGTGCACTTCGCACTCACACACACACACACACAAAAAAAAGGAAGAAAAGCGATCGAATGTAGAATCGTGGATTAGCACAAAAGGTTAAAATCGCAGGAGGTTCCTCGCTAAAAGTTGCTATGGTTGTTCGGTGACGGAGGGCTGAAACAACTTCCCTTAGGCCCTAACGCGACGTATACATTTCGCGTAGATTCTCAGATATTTCAACGTTCAAACAAAGCTAAGAGAATGCGAAAATTTCATGTTAAAAGCACTCAAAGTTCTATCGATCCTCGGACACATCCCGGAATCCAAGCACCGGTACGGCGATGCAGAGCTGATGCTGTCTCACAGGCGTTTATATCCAGATGATCCAGAGCGATCTTGCGCAAAAACGGTATAAAGTCTCATTCCTTCATATTTTCACATTATACCTGCGTCAGCGAGCACGAAGAAGCCCGTAGTCGTCGGAAAGCAGCTGCACATCACGGCTACCGCGCACCGAACAAACTCGCATCCGCCAGCTCTGGGCGCTGCCATCTTGCCTGTGACGTCACGGCTCTTGGGAGGTCACGTGACGAGTGGTCACATTTGCGTAAAATATGGCGGCAACCGGGGGGGTGCCACTTCCGAACTTCCGGTTTATCACTCTAAGCCCCTCTACCTCGTTGGTTGTGGCAGCTGTGATGGCAGGCTGATATCAGAATAGCGTGAGTTATATTTCGTGCTTGATTAAAATTGTTTGACAAAACATATTTTTGAACCCCGGCATGACCGGTAGCCCGATTTTTGGGGACCCGGTGAAAGTTTCACGAAATCGCGGTACCGAGGAAAAGCAGCACAGCACGCATCGAAAGTCGCATCGAAAGAAGCATCGAAAGCAGACGCCGGTACGGAGTCTGCCTTGGATGCGAGCTGCGCTGCTTTACCCCGGTGCTGTGCTTTCGTAGAACTTTGGCCGGGTCCTCAAAGATGAGGCTACCGTTCACGCCGTGTTTCAAGAACCTGCTTCGTCGAACAACTTCAATCAGGCACGAAATATTACCCATGGTACAGTGTACTAGATCCACGGCTATTTTGTGGCAGCCTGCCGCCGCAGCCGCCATTGCGTTGTCCGCCATATTACTATGATGGCTAGAGATAATATAACTCTATAAAAAGATGGCCGACCGTAGCCGTATTCCCGTCTATAGGCGGAGCTGGTCAAGCGCGATCCAGCATATAGACATAGAGATCAGTGGTAAGCCTCGTAACCCTTGTGAGGGTAACCCTTGCAAACCTCAAGAGGGTAACCGTCGGGACGTTACACGTGACGTCACGTGTGACGTGATCATTGGAAACGACCTATAATGCAACGCGCGGTTACACCCACACCGACGCCGACGACGACGCTCAAGCAGGAAACGGGCGCCTAAGAGCTGCGATATAAAACGGACAGCCGAACAGTAACTTTCATTTGATATGACGGTGAAGTGTTGCTTTATGCCATTTGATATGTCCCGTTGGGACAGGCCTTTAGACTACGTCGAAATGCAGTAGCACTGCTTGTCCTGTATGAAGGATTCTTTATATAACCCCAGCCAAACGTCGTTCTCTATCCTCCGGTGTACTCATTGTGTTGCCGTTTCTGTTCAGACGATGGGCAGGAGGTTCAACTGTCGCGTCCCTACCGGCTGAGCGTAACACTGCACACGAGGAGCCAATACCATCATGCATAATTTGTCTATTTTTCACGCAACGTTTCGTAAAATAAAAGCACATTTCTATATATCTATTTTTTAAACAGGGCCACGAAGTGTATTTCTCCCTAAGAACGAAGAGTCGCGTAGCTATGTTTAAGCAATGTGCGAAGTGAAAATTGTGATAAATTTTGTCTACGCTGACATGTTACCAAGAACACCGAAACAAAAGAAGAAAAACATAGTATTTACCACGGTGATAGGCCAGCACAAAGACCAGAAATATGCAAGCGACTCGAGCCATATCCTCTGTATCTCGTTCTGGAGAGGAAAAAAACGATATCAACAGTCAGTAAGGAAATCAATAGAAAAACAAATATTGCGTCATGAATTTACCATTTTCATTTAAAGTATTGGTAGCATTGGTACAGGTGGTATTCTTTTGTGTGGGTGTGTGTGCGTGTCTATGCGTGAACCTGTGTAACAAATTGCAAAGTTAGCACCATTGGGATGGTTGTTGCATCAGTGTTTCTAGTACAGTTGTCGCACATTGAACAGTTTATGGTAACATCGAAGGTGTCTTCGCGCTTTTCGTTCCTCTGTCTTGTTGGCCCAAAATAGAGAACGTGATCCAGAAAAAAATATTGCCCTCTCCGCTTGGCTTTAGTCAAATTGTTACATAATTATCTTGGTCGATTCCGTAAGGTATTTAAATTTAAATTACCTAAACCTTTCAAAATATCTTTACAGTTGAAATAAACTTTATCGTTAATGCCAGATGCACGCAATAAAATCAGCGCATTTTTTTTTTCTCATAGGTGTTGCTAGCGGCACTCAGCACGTTGTTTCACGGTGCGCCAACACCAAGTTCGAAGCTTTTGCCGAAACTGTCTTATGCAATGTGTAAGTAAAATACAAGAGAAAAAAAACGCGTTGCGAGTGAGTAATCCCGTTTGCAAAGGAACTCCGCACTCGCAGAAGTTTTGCGGACCGAAGTGGACGATGCATGAACCGTGATTTCTTCAGTAGTTGGAACTTGGAACCAGTGCCGTCACTAGGGTCCGCGGCACCCGCGGCGGTAGCCCACCGCGACCCCTCCCCCTTCCCCCCTTCCCCCCCCTCCCCCGCGCTCGATGCCTCCCCTGAGTGCTGCACCCGGGGCAGTGCCCCCCCCCCCTTTCCCATGACGCCACTGCTCGGAACACGTCTGGTTGTTGTCAAAGGAAAAGAAAAAGGAATAATAATAACGCACCCTTTGAGGTATTCCCTGTCCCCTTCCTTGAAAGCTAAGCTTTTGTTCGCAAAAGAACTGGTGGATTTCCGAAGGCTATAAACAAGTAAGGCGGCAGTTTCTACGAGTAGCAGACGACGGCGGGGTGCAGCGTTCGAACACCAGACCCTGACGCCACTTCTTCTCCCCCGCGAGGGGCAGACAACGTTCTTGCTTGCTCTTATCGGAGGGAGAGAATATGTAGAGGCCGATACAGCTAGTCTTCGCGTCAACCCACTATATTTATTTCATATTATTTGAATAAGGCTTGAAACACTTCTTAACGGAACCCCCACAGTCCCACAAGTTTGTCGATCGGTGCATTTGTAGTTAAATTTAGCGGAAACATTCACGTCACGTGACCTAACGTGACATATACTCCAAGTGGAGAAATCGTCGTCACGTCACCCATACGTCAATTAGTTTCCTCGCTAAATTTAGCGCGGAAATTGATGTCACGTGACATTTGCATCAAGTGAAGAAACTAACGTCACGTGACCTATACGTGAATTCAATTCCTCCGCTAAATTTAGCGGGAAAATTCAGTCGAGTTTCTCCGCTAAAAAATGGGAACAAATTGACGTCACGAGACCTAAACACCAACCCAGTTTTCTAGCTAGTTTTAGGAGGGAAATCGATGTAATGGACCTGATGTCACGTAATCCATAGAAAAATTTAGTTTTTCCGCTGAATTTGGTGGCTAAATATACATCACGTGACACACCGATTTCCTCTCCTCATTCCTCTCCTCCCTTCCCCTTCCCTTTTTCCCTATCCTTCACTTTCCTAACAATATAACGTTTAGTTCGGAACGACTGTTTATTAAGGAGTTTTAGAATAACGTACGCAATTTTAGCGCAGGCTAGAGCTATATTAGCGCTTGGGTTAGCACACGCTACGCAAGAGTGTTTTAGAATAAGTTTCTCCGCCGCGACGCAAAAGCCCAAGTGTCTCGCGGTCGCAACGCCACCAAGATACACTAAATCATATTATTTAAAAAATCCAAGCTTTTTGGTTCAGAGTAACGTATTAGATTTGTTTAAATATAAGAATGCGACGGGAACGGTCGACCGATCGTGCCCGCTTGGGTTGCTTGGGAAAGAGAGCTCCCGTGTGCTGACTTTCGCCGCCTTCGCCGAGAAACGTTCTCGTGTCGCAAGCAGCAACTTGCCGGCGATCGTTGCTCACCTAGCCGCGTCTTGCGAACCCTCTGTGACGTGCACCTCGCGTACAGTGCAATGTCGTCCTGCATTGAAGCGCAGTCACGAGGATGCCGCCTATGTCGCGCTCTCGACGCCGCCAAAGCGGCCGCAGCCGCGTTAGGCACAGAGCCGCCATTTTTTAGCTCTGCTGTTCTTGTCTTTAACCAAGTTCTTCATCACGAATCCTTCTTGGAGGAGCGCAAAGACTTTGAGTTCGCACGCAATAACTGAAAATAGCATACGCTAATATAGCACACGCAACGTGCAAATCGCACATAGCGTTCGGCGCATCCGCAATGGCGACAACGCTATTTTTTAATAATTTCATTGTGTGGTGAAACCGGATTAACGTATTGTTAACTTAGAGCGCAATTTCGGGAGTGGAACACTATTTTTGGGATAGAACATGATTTTGGGGGAAGACGTAAAACGTAAAACATTAGACGCAAAATCGAGAGGCAAACATATTGCGGTTGAATAAAAATATAGTCAAATGTTCCGGCTACAACAGGGCTCCCTCCCGGGTGGCAGCACACACTCATTGGCTGACCTACACTCTGTTCACCAATAGGCTGAGACTACGGTGGAAGCTACGTGAACGTCGGACCAATCAGCCACCTCCCCTTAGTCACACGCCCCGGCTCTCTCTCCGCGTGGGTATGGGCGGGAGCGTGTTGACGTAGCGAAAGAGGGGCGCATGACTGGTCCAACAAGAACCAGTCATGCGACCCGCAATATATAATTGCTCGACGGCTTTTGGATCGCCAGCGAGCAAATATTTGAGACCTGCGCTCTAATAATGCCAGTACCTTGCTTTTGAGTGGCCAATGCGCGCCAGCGCGAAAAAAAAAAAAAAATCAAAAGTGAAGTTATATAATTTCCATGAAAAGAGTGACACCACCAGCGTCGCCGAGCTTAGATGATCGCAGCTAAAAAGACGGTGCTCGACTACTTCGATATGCTACCGACAGATGGCGCTACGTGAGAAACGAGAGGTTGATTCAACTCGAACGACTAAATCCCCGTATAGCGACAGGTGGGAGCCTGGCCACTGGAGCACGTAGAAAGCAAGGTATCACAAAACGCTGGGAAAGAAAACTTAAATATTAAAGCAAGCAAGTCAAAGCATCAGAAAATATTACATTACAGAAACTCGCGTCGCACTGAGAAGAGCGTAATAGCACTTTCGTTAGACTGTTTGCTGGTGCCAAGACCCGACTCGTCGCCCCCGTAGGCCAGCTTGGTGCGTATCTTCAGCACTTGGGGGAGATAAGTGCCCATTGAGGAGGCTTTCCGTTCACGAAGTAGTTGAACGACTTTTATGTCCTAAGTCGTTTACATGTTTATGGGCCAGGCGACTCGAATAGGTAGAAGTTTAAGATGCGCCCACGATGCCTGGGAAGTTTCGTTATTTCTTTGAAGAGCAATAGGTAATTATTTTCATCAAGGGGATCAGGAAGCCGTGTAAATCCAGTGTAAGTGAAATTCTGAACGTGTCAAAGTTTTCCTCGGCATTGAAACTTTTAAAGTACGCGCTACTCATTGCGGGTCCTTAAAATATGCAAAAACCAGGGCCAACCGGAAGCTATATACTCCTCCGGAAATGTGGCCATGTTTGTTTTTGTTTACCGCTGAACACTTTGTATATCAAAACTAACACCACATTATTAAATAACGAAGCTTAACCCCTATTTCGTGAAAAAATTGCATTCAGTTATCCTAAATATATATACAATATATATATATATATATATATATATATATATATATATATATATATATATATATATTTAGTTAGAGAGATGTTAGCTCTTGGCGGATGTGCTGAAATCATGGAGGTGGGAAGCTTCTGTAGGCGACATAACACCACCAGCGGTTAAGCCGGGGAGAGACGTTTAGCTTGGAGGGACACTCCTTCAACGAGGACCAAAACCAAAAGGTGCGATTGGACGAATTAGGCAAAAAAAGAAAGCTGATTTGGCGCCTAAAGCTGATTTGGTTGTGATTTTTGGTAACCCTTGGGGGCGTTCCGCCGACCGCAACCTTTAATTTCGGCTTCACTTGGATTTTTCTCTCTAGGCTGACTTGAGCCGGTGTGTCGCCTCCCCTTATTCCCATGTCCATGGCTGGGATCCTCAAAGAAAATTTTACGGAAAGCCACGAAAAATTTAAGAAGTGTTTAAGGTCCTACTCAAAGGACCAAATGTACAAAAAAGATGTGAATTTAAAGAAATATCAAAATTTTAAACGGGCTTTAGCGGGAATCGCACAACGACATTACGATTGGGAGCTCGACATTAGCTACCACCGTGCCATGTACATATCGTAACCTTCACTGTCGCACCCGCTTGCGGGTAGACTCAAAGCTAGCTCGGCTTGTCTTTACTGCGGTGAACTTTCCTAACTGTACAGATACCAACGTCGATCACAAACGTTACGGCGTTCGTCGTTTGCGTTCGAACAGTTTTGTGAGAAGAACCAAGAAACACAGCACGTGCCCACCAGAATATTTAAAAATAGCAGAGCTTAAAATAAAATCCCAGACTACTGAAAAAAAAAACAAAAAAAAACAACACAGAGACACACAATCTGCAATGACTTTTGTAACACGTTCTGTGTATACCAACGTTTTCTGTATAAATAAAGAAAAATCAAGCATTTTCCTATCCAGGTTAGTTCATAAAAGTTGCCCGAAATAGAGTGTAGAGTAACTTACCAATAAAATATTATCTTCGAAGCTCTGAGGTCTGCAGGTGCCAGACGTTTTAGACTTCGATTATAAGCCTTAGGGTTTTTGAAAAAATTTATATAGTGCTGACGGAAACAAGCACA